GGGAAGAAGCCCGTCGCGTGGCAGGTGACCGGAGAGGAAGGTGTCTTCCGGAGGAGGGACACCGTGGGAAGCTCTGCCCACCGAGCGGCGAGGAGGGAGAGAACGACTTAGGGGGACAAAAGACGATGAGAGAACACATGGGAAGACCAAAGATGGAGAGAAAGTGCGAGAAGAACGTTACAAAGAGAAATGTAGGAAAAGAAATCATGTGAGAGGAGGAAGTAGGGACAGCATGCGCAAGAAGATGACGCTCAGGGAATGTGTGAGGGCAGAAGATGACCGGAACGCATCAGGACAAAGACGGAGGGAAAGCGGGAGCGGACAAAAGTGGGGCAAAATGTGCCACAGCTTGAAGGATGGAGAAAGGGTGAGAAGGCAAAAGGGGCAATGTGTGAGAGGGGTCAATAAGGGCTAAAATGTGTGAGACGAAAAGACGGTAACTGTGAGTGGAAGATGGAGGGAATGCGTGAGGGGGCGAAGGAAACGGAGGACAATTTGGAAGCGCGCCGAGAAGGTGAGAGAGGACAACCATCAGCGAGCATGTTGCAGAGGGTGAAAGAAAGTGAGAGCAAGCGAGGATGATGGACAGATGAAGATGAAGAGAATGGCTGAGCGGACCAGAGAGTGTGAGAGGCCACTGCACCTGTTCTCATCAGGAAGTCCCGCCCAATGCTCACAAGCGTCTTCAAGTCAGCAGGACAAATTTCAGTGAGGACACTCTTCCAGTATTCTTTGAAGCCGTCCGATCGTTCCCACTTGTTCTTTGTGATGAAAGCTTGCGGATTCGCTGCGATCCATCTCATCGTTTTCAACTCAAATGAGATGAAGTCTTCTCCGTCATACCTGTGCTGTTCCCAACCATCCACCTCACCAGTCTCGTCATCCCATTCACAGCCGATCATCGGCTGGATCATGTGAACGCCTGAAAGTGTCACGCACGCGATGAACAGAGAGAAGCCGGCATGACGTGCGTGTTTATGAGTCGGGGCACATCCGCTACGTTGTACGAGCGCAAGGTTGATCGGAAACGAACCTCCAGTTTGGTTGAAGCGCTCTTTTGCGATTTCAAGGTTGACTTTGGACACCTGCTCATTGCCGATATTGCCGCGCATCTCTCGCTCCCACAAGTCTGGATCATTTGCTGCGATTTTGTTCACCCAGTCCAGTTTGGCTT